AAAAAAAACTAAATGAAGAGAGCTGTGTATGAATAGGAAGAAACAAAACTAAAGAGACAAGTAAAAAAGGCGGAAGGCCGGAAGCCTCACGATTATAAAAATGAAAAAAAAAGAACCTAAAATGTGAAGCAAGCAAATAGAGAATCTGAAGAGAGCAAAAGGAAAACCGATGCACGGAAGAAGCAAAGTTGATCCAGAGAGAAAAATCCCATGCGATGAAGTGGCAAAAGAAACAAAGTCGTAGAAAAAAACATAGAGACGAAGCAGAGAAGCAAAAATTTTGACTAAGTCAACCCTTAAAAAAATTTAAAATAAAAAATGTAATCCGTGTTCGTGATGCGCGCGTTTTATCGCATCCAGTCGCATCGCTTATTGCGCTGATGCGCAGGTATGCGCTCGCATAACGTACATCGCGTGCATCACCGTGAAGAATGCGCAAAGCCCTGCGCCTTGCATGACGTACCTCAAGCGCGCTTTTCACAACTATGTTCATACATGACAAAAAGAGAAAAAAGAAAAACAAAGTGCAAACAATCGATCTCTTCATCAATTCAACCGAAAGATGAAAGGAGGACACCATCTGTGGGAAAAGCTTAGGTTTGTTGCGGTAGCATCTGCAGTTACCGGAAAATAGATCTGACCAAGAAAACTTCGGATAAGCAACGATACAAAATAGATCTATTTCGCTGGAGTAGGAAGATCGGAGTTGCCTGAGAATAGATCTCTGTTCATTGATTGAAGAGGACTGAAGAAGATACTTTAATTCATATTCTGTAATTCTCAATTCGGCTAACATGACTTGCAAGGGTATATTGGTCATTGTACCCTTTAGTATTTTACCAAAAATAGAAAGTGGATGAATACACATGATAGCCCAAAAAGGAATACTGGACCAAAAGAGTGGGACAGAGGGAGTATATACGAAAGACAACATTATAGAACACATGTATCAGTACATATTATAAATCCAATATGTTATTTGATATTATGATACTCCCTCCGTCCCTAATTTGATTACAATGTTCCCTTTCATTCTTGTCCCAAAAAGAATTACAAGGTTCCAATTTTAACACCATTTGGACCATTTTACCCTCCCTTCTATCTCTCTATGTAATGATTTGACTCCTCCTTAATTGGGGGTCATTTGGGGAAAAATTCAATGATTTGACTTCTCCTTAATGTTCTCAAAAATGGAATGTTGTAATCTAAAAGTGGACGGAGGGAGTATGTAATTTATCTTTACCCTTGTTAAATATAAGAGATTATTATTACTAAAGTATTCTTCCAGTTTGACTTTTTCTAGTTAAATTAGATGAACTTTGATAAGCAATTAAATTAAAAATATATTGCATATTAATTAAATGAAAGATAAGTTTCCGAGAGTCCTTTGTGACAAGAGGATATCGATGAACGTGAAATGGAAGTTTTATGGGTTGTGGCTAGACCATGTATGTTGTATGGTGTAGAGTGATGGACAGTAAAGGATGCTCACATTTAGAGGCTACAAGTGGCAGTGATGAGGATGTTGAGGTGGACGTGTACGAGGATGGATATGATTCAGAACGAGGATATTTTTGGCAGGGTAAGAGTTTATTTCGAGGATAAGCTGTGTGAAGTGAGGTTGTTTGGATACGTCTTGAGGAAAGGCACGGATACCCAATGAGGAGGCGGGGGAGGCTTGAGTTTGGGGGCAAAATGTGGAGTCGTGGTAGACCTAAGAAGAGGTGTAAAGATGTGAGACATGACTTATGGGCTATGGCCATCAAATATCACTGAAAATATGACCTTTGTTTGTGCCTTTTACTTTTGTGCTTCTGTGCCAATAATTCATTTGTTGTTGTGGTCCTGTGTCTTGAGGTGGGATCTCTCGGAAACAACCTCTCTACTTTCCGAGTAGGAATACAGTCTATGTACACACCCTTCCACACCCCACTATGTGGATATTTAATGGGATGGCTATTGTTGTTATATTAATACAATGAAATAATTATTTTAAATATTTTTGCAAGATAAATCTATTGAAATTATTTTTGTATTAATATGCAATATAAGTTTTATGTAATTGATGATCAAAGTTTGTCTAGTTTGGGTGAGGGAGTGTTTGTTAATGATTTATGCTATATGTGATATTTTCATTTACCTTTAGTTGTTTTATAGATTGTAAAACAAATAAAACATTAATAAAATGTCATAAAGAATGAGATTTTTTTCTTTTTTTGGAACAACAAAGATTGATAATTGTTTAAGAGGGTTCTTTCCCATACAATCCATGACGACTTTGGCTTGGAGCAATTGGGCCAATTCTAGAAGGCATAAAGCGAAGTACATAGGTGTACGGTGCAAACACAATTCAGGGAATTAAATGATCGAGTCCATGCAAATTTTATCATTAAGGGACAATTTAGTGATTTACCACAAGCTCCTACACTCTGAGACATGGCAGTTTCGCTACTCATTCTTTCGGTGCTATTTCGCTTACTATTTCTCTTTACGGTCTGGTGTCAAATTCAGTGTAATGTTTACTTTTGTGATATAAATGTTGGCAGTTTTAGTTTAACTGAACCACCCTTTGTATTTGGCTAGGTGAATGCACTTCCCCATTGGGCTTAGGCATTGACGTTTTAAACCATCAGTGAGGAGTACTAGTCACGTAATAGTTGTCTTTTCGGGAGTCTGTAGTATTATAATGCATGTTTACTTGTCTACAAAGGAAAGAAAAATAATAGAATGTCTTCGATATTCTTGCACACACACATACAATTAGCTATTTTTTTACCGAAGGGTGATGCTATATCTCTTTTGGCATTACTCTAATGTTGGCCTACATCTTCTATTTCATCTTTTCAAACATATATGTATGTAGATGTTTTTTTGGAAATTCTAATGTACTACTGTATGTGAATTTACATATTGCTGTATTCAGTATTGCTAGCTATTGTATAGCAAGTAGAAGTCATAATTTCTAAATTCACTTGAAGATTAATGAGTTTGTTTGTTTGTTTGTTTGTTTGTTTGTGTAGCTTATGATAGAGCAATCAATGTTGGAATCAGATGAAGATATTGATGATGTTGGTACTTCTCCAAAGGAAGAGACGGAAAGTCCACCTAGACGTAATCGGCCCAAACGACAAGTGGAGACTCCATCTGCATAAAACTTCCACCTTGTAAGCTGTTTTGGATGAACAAAGTTTAAGGTAAATACTTCCTCTGTTCCGTACAAAACATCACGGTGTGACTTTCATGGAGTTTAAAAAGAAGAAAGAGAAACTTTTTGAGCCACATATTCGTTTCTTTAAAAGGAAAGTGAATTTTTTAATGGATGAATGAAAAAGTGAACGATGAAGTTTTTTATGGGACAGAGAGGGTTGGCTGTCTTGGGATTAGAGCTGTTTTTTATGTGTATTGAAGTTTTTTATGGATGAATATTGAATGTGGTGTTTGTGCAAATTTGTATCATTGAAAATAAAGCAATGAATTTCCATTGCTATTATTGGAACTCGAGGGTACTCCAAGTTAGTTATTCTCGTTTTGGCTAGGTACAATTTTTAATGCAAGACAAGTAGTTGACTTTTTGATTTTGTGCTTTTAATTATAAATAAAATTGCCATGGAGGGGTTGTCAAAAAATTGCAATGGAGTGGGTGCTTTTCAAATCATAGAAAATCACTCCCATTCAAATATTCAATAATTCAAAGTATCGCTCCAGAAAGAAATTGCAATACAAAAAAATGTAGTGAGTTATAAAATTAGTCTCGTTTCAGAGAAAAAAATAGTGTCACTTGCACAACTTATGCATTATATTTTTGGGGAAAAGATTTGTACTGAATTATCGAAAAAAAATCACAAGTCGGATTGTTCTATTTTAGAAAAAAGCAATTCGGATAATAGAAGATTATCAATAAACATATCAGAGTCTTGTTCATGGGAAAAAATTGCAATACAACAAAAAATACAGTGAATTATGAAAATAAAAGTTCCATTTTAGAGAAAAAATTATTGTGTTATTTTCACAACTGCTGTAATGTTCTTTTGTAAAAAAACATTTATATAGAATTATTGAAAATATATTCACAAGTTTTATAGTACCATTTTTTTAAAAAAATAATAATACTCCGTAGTATGGTATCAAAAACAATTGAAGTGTCACTCAAAAAAAATTGTACTCCGTAACTTACAAGAAAATGTAGTGTGTTATGAAGTAAATAAATTAATTCTATTGTGTAGAAGTAAATAAATTAGCTCTATTGGGGTAATATTGTTGATTGTATGCAATATAAGTTTTGGGACAAATAAGTTAAAGTACTACCTCCGTCCCAATTTATAGCGTCTGTTTCGGTTTATGATGTTTGACCGAAATTATTTTCAAATCATTTTATATGACAAATGGTATAGAATTAAAAAATAAAAATTACATATTAAAAAACTACATCAAAAGATCTACAAAACTAGTAGTGACAATAATATTTTATTTTATCAAATTGCAAACGAAAATAGGGAAAGATAGTGAATGAAGTTTGACCCTGTGAATAGTAAACAGACATTATAATTTGGGACGGAGGGAGTATTATTTTTCAACATTTTTTGAATTGTTCTGATCAGAATAGATTTGATTTAATTGGATCTGAATGAGTCTGATATGATTTGATTGAATATAATTTGATATGATATTAATCCTTTTGTCCCACAATATTTGGCATTTTTATTAATTATTATAGTCTCTCAATTCTTTTTTTATTTTTCTATATTTTAATTGATAATTTCATAAAATAAAATAATTTTAACATATTTTTGATATATTTTTGATGAGTGCAATTTGTAATTAAAACTTTAAAAGTACTAATCATACTGCTCTGGTCCGGCCGTCCGTCCGGGACTGCGTAAGGGCATTCAATCTGGACTGCCTAAGGGCATTTTAGTCTAAGCAAATTACAACGATTCTTTTTTTTTAAATGCCAAACGTCGTTAATAAAAGGGTTAAAACCCTATTACAGTTCACGCCGTAAACTTCTTATTCTCTTCTTACCTACCGCCTCCGTTCTCCTGCTTACTTTCTCTCTCTCTCGTTCGCGCGATTCTCAATCCATCTCCCGCCAGCGCGGCGGGCGCGCCATTATTCTCATCTCAATCGATCTCCCGCTGGCGCTTGATATTGGATCTAATAGATATCAAAAGTGTGCTTGAATTTGGTTTTGCAGGGCCTTTTATTTTCGAATTTTTCTCCTAACGATCTGAATCTGGTTTTGCAGGCCCTTTTATCTTCGAATTTTTCTCTTAACATATTTCTGTTTACAGCTGATGTTGCCCTTTTTGTTTTTTTTTGTGTGTTATTAGCGTGATGGTTGCAGGATTCAGAAACCCCTCTATGAAAATGTTTCGTCAGTATGACTTGCCTCCTCAAGGAAAAAGATCGCATCAAAATGTATGTAAATTTGATGTACATTTCATCTGCACAATTGATGCAAAATAGTGTAAATTCCATGAAAAAGCTATCTACTTTCATCTGGAAATTTGATGTAAATTTCGTTGTCACTTTTATTTGATTTTGGTATCTAATTCTCAAATTTGATGTAAATTTCGTTGTCACAACCTGAGTTTTTTTTTTGAATGTTGTTGGATAAGCTCTAAAAAAAATATGGTATTTTTTGAGATCTCCAATGAATTATTATCTGTCGCCACCTTTATCTGTTTGAGTTTCTTCACANGTTCATTCCTAACAGATCTGCAATGGATATGGACTATGCGCACTTTATGGTGACGGAAGGGTGCAAAGTGAAGCAGAATCCTGTGGCCAGGTCACCTTCGAGCGAAGCATATCAAAAGCATCTTGTAGAGGTCTTCAACATGAACCGGAGGATCCTTGCTTTTAAAGACAAACCACCCACCCCTTTGCGTGGGTTTCCGTACGAGGATTCTTCTGTCTCTTATGAGGCCAGACCTACAAAACCTCTTCGCCACATTCCTCAGGTAGAAAGGAGTCTTTTTTACTTATTCAATACTGAGTGAGTTTTAAAGTTGTTATTTATAGTTTTGATGATTGGTTCATTTTTGCAGACATCCAAGAGGACTTTAGATGCCCCAGATATTGTGGATGACTACTACTTGAACTTACTAGATTGGGGAAGCAGCAATGTCCTTTCTATTGCTCTTGGCAGTACTGTTTACCTGTGGGATGCTTCTCAGCGCAGAACTTCTGAACTGGTCACGGTTGATGATGAATTTGGTCCTGTCACGAGTGTGAAATGGGCTCCCGATGGAAAGCATGTTGCTGTTGGATTGAATAATTCTGATGTCCAGCTTTGGGATACCACGGCTAACAGATTGGTATGCTTCTTCTTAATTCTGATGTCCAGCTTTGGTTTTCTTTTCTTTCATTGATTGAATAAATACTGAAATTTCGTTATTCTATTGTTGTCTGATACTTGGGCAGTTGCGAACTTTGAGAGGTGGCCACCAATCACGAGTGGGAGCCCTTGATTGGAACAAGCATATACTTACCACAGGTGGGATGGATGGTCTGATTATCAACAATGACGTCCGGATGAGATCACATATTGTAAAAACATACAGAGGACATAGTCATGAAGTGTGCGGCCTAAAATGGTCTGCCTCAGGCCGGCACTTGGCGAGCGGAGGAGATGATAACCTTCTATATATATGGGACAAATCATCGACTGCCTCCCCAACAACTCAATGGCTTCACAGGTTTGAAGAACACAGGGCTGCAGTTAAGGCACTTGCCTGGTGCCCGTTTCAGGCAAACCTCTTAGCCTCCGGGGGAGGAGGAGGAGACCAGTGCATTAAGTTCTGGAATACCCAAACCGGTGCATGTGTGAGCTCAGTTCATACAGGGTCTCAGGTGTCCGCGCTGCTTTGGAACAAGAATGAGCGTGAGTTGCTTAGCTCCCATGGCTTTACTCAGAATCAGCTAACTCTCTGGAAATACCCATCAATGGTTAAGATGGCAGAGCTTAGGGGACATACATCTCGAGTTCTTTCCATGGCTCAGGTTTGACTGTCTTTCTTCTTCTTGTTCTCACAAATTTAATATCAAAAGATTGCTATCACGGTGCGTGGTGAAATATACTCACAGTCATATATTCGTTGTGCAGAGCCCAGATGGTTGCACTGTTGCATCTGCTGCAGGTGATGAAACACTAAGATTATGGAATGTTTTTGGAACGCCTGAAGTCAAGAAAAAGGTTCCCAAGTCCAATCCGGAGCCGTTTGCTCATGTTAACCGAATCCGCTGATGCACGATTCAATACATGCTTGATATAACCTCAGGTAAGGTATAAATTTAACCATTGCCTTCTCTAGCTATAGCTTTTCCCAGTTTGTGTGTATGCAATCTCGCATTCAATACTTTATGGAGTACTTTCGCTATATTATTATACTTTTTCTGTCTTTTTTTAGTGTTCCTGGAGACGTTCTAGAGGTCAAGCATTCTGTTCACTATCCAAAATTGAAACTTGAATGTGAAGGGAATGATATGCTTTGGGATGAATCTTTGATGAGGCCAATCAAATCACCTATTTCTAACAAAAGTTTTGTTCTTATCATTTCAGGTGCTGTATAGTATGCTCAGTTTTGCTTCTGACCTTGGATGGGCTTGTCAGTGTGTATATATATCTATTGTTCTTATAACCATATAATTAGAGTTTGCAATTTGTTTAGACTCTGATTTAGGCAACCTGTAACTTTTGTCATTGAATATGTATAGAGTATTTTTTACTTAATAAAGCTGATTAATTGAGTATTTTTTACTTGCTGATGTTCATCAGCTTGGGCTGGGCTTATAAATTTCTCTGCATTTTTATTCAAAAATTTGGCAGGTTGATTCATTCCATTGATATATTTGTCAATACAATTGTCTTATTTGTAAACGGTTCTTTGGCTTCTATTATTTGTTCTGCACAAGGTGTAAAATTAACAAGCATTGTTGACAATTTGCCTCACTGAGACTTTTCCACTCGAATCCTTTTATGTTTAGCAAATGTCAATCGTAAAAGTTTCTACCCAAATATGATTTCTAAATCTCATCTTCATTATCATTTCTACATCACTTACATATCGGCAATGTAAGTAAGTCCACCCTAGTCAACATTTTCTGAAGTGTAAGACACGAGTAAAAAAATGATATGACTAACATTGCAAGTTTTATGAGGATAGCGGAGACGCCAGAGCTTTCCTTCACGAAGTATCGCCCGCTACACGTGTTAGCAATCGCGCGTGCGTGTCGTGAAATAAATGAATCCTTTTTCTATTGAACTAAGTAGGAATTTATATCAGGAAAATAAGAAGAGAATAATGTGTTTGAATTTTACAACGGGGAAAATAAAATAAAAATAAAATGAAGTAGAAGGTCACCGGATGCCGAACGGAAAGAAAGGATAGCGGAGACGCCATAGCTTTCTCCTTCACAAAGTATCGCCCGCCACACGTGTTAGCAATCGCGCGTGCATTTCGTGACTTGCCGAGCCTGACGGACGGCGGCGACAGTGCGCGAGGGGTCCTTTCCTTCCTCCTCAAATTGCTTTTAACATACAATTCAATGTTAACATATATATAGTGGAAGACGAAAGGTCCCAAAACCGATGTGGGATACATGAGTTTCCTCCTTCCAAGTGTCCGATTTTGTGAATTAATTTCTCAATCATTCGAGCACCATTTTTTGTGTACAATATGTCAAAACACTCCTCTCACTTAGGAGATTATTTGTCCATAATTATTTTGAAAAAATAACTTTGTGGACCCCACCTAATTTACATCCGAAGTGTCCCGTTACAAGCCAAAAATTTCAAAAATCTCCCACATGAATGAGAATTGATTCATGTGTCACTAGAGGGGGGGGGGGAATAGTGAGACACGAGAATGTTTATAAATTTTCGCGGAATAAAAATCACATGGATAAAGTAAAGAGCGGAATTAAAAAGCGTAAGGAAAGAACACACCGATATACACTAGTTCACCACAACGTGTGGCTACGTCCAGTCTCCCAAGAGACTCTCTCGAGCAACACTACTTCCGTTAAGCTTACAGGTGCTTAACAAACCATTACAACCTGAGAACCGGAGTCCCACGAGCCTCAATACACTTGCTCGGAGATACCGCACTCCAAGACTTCAACCCGAAGGAATATGCCCTTCCTTCGTACAACCAAAGGAATAAACCTCCCTTAAAGTGTTCACAACACTTAACCACTCAAGAACAAAAACTCTCCTAAAGTGTAGAATATGAGTAAACTAATTTAGATCAAGAACACACTCAATTCCTCAAGAAATGGATCTAAAAACCTATGTAAAAAGTTTATGGAATGATGTAATGTAAAGCTATGAAATGTGTGAGGAATGGTTGTAAAAAGTATACCCAAAAGACCCCTATTCATACCCAAAAATGATGTGTAACGGATGAGAATTTATTGGGGTTTGTGGCATGATTTGTGGAAATCAAATCAAAGTTGGTTTACAGGAATTTGGCCTAACATCGATGTTCATATAGTGAACATTTCTGTTTTGGCTTTTACTTTCCTTAAAAAAATGGCTAACGGTCATCAAAACATCGATGTTTAGAAGTTTACATCGATGTTGGGGTGATTGACTTTCAAAAATGGAAAGATTTTGTCTTAAATAGCCCAATGGTCATTTGAAAACATTGATGTTCATCAATGAGCATTGATGTTCAAAAACCTACTTCCAAAAACTGAGAATGCCAACATCGCTGTTGAGAATTCCAACATTGCTATTGGGTTGGTTCGCCAGAACCATGGTTTGGCAGCCAACACCGGAAACCGATGTCAAAAACCAAAGTTCTCCAAAATTAAAACCAAGTGTTGGAAGCTCTTATATAATGTATTTTATGTATAAATCAAGTATAAAAACTTAAAAACCACGACATTAAGGTAAAAACCACGGCTAGCCAATTAAGTTTATGTTGTTTCACATGGTTTTCACCAAAAGACCAAAAACGAAAGGTGGTTTTTAACATGTTTTTGTTGGAGAACTATTTGGATATTCCCAGAAGTAAAAACCAATCATAAATTCTTAAAAACCACTTGATTGATTTGGACGCCAAAAACCAACGCCGATAACCAATTCCGAATGCTGATAACCAATGCCGGAAAATAAAGGTTATGATTTTTGAAAACTAATCATTTGGAAAACCTTTAAATGTGTTCAAACGCAAAAACCAAAGATAAAAACCCAAAAACCATTGGGCTAAAATCAATGCCGAAAAACGAACACCATAGTCGAATCCCGATAACCGATAGTTATGGTTTTGGTTAGGTAAGAACCAGGGGTTTTAGAAACTTAAAAACAATTTATGAAAACACTCATTTGATGCATGAAAAATATATTTTGTTTTGAGCCATGACATAGAGAAATTGAATGAGCTTGTTACAATAAAAACCTAAGTCTTTAGACAATGTCTTCAAAACGCTAATGTCGTTGTCTTTAGAAACGTCAATGCCTTTCTTGTGCTATTTGTTCCTTCAAAGAGCTTTTTCTATGACTTTGAATCTTTTCATTTTGTCTCATGTTCCCGATGGTTTGTCAATATCCAAACCAAAATGGAAACAAGCATTGTCATTAATAAAACATCAATGTGAAAATGCTTTCTAACAATTTATTTTTCTTTCTAAAATAGATGTTGATTCTTATGACATGGATAGGTTGGAAAAGAGTGATAACAATATGGAAAAAGACACAATAGACCAAAATACTATAAAACGTGATTTTGAAGCTAGTTTTGCAATCAGGTGTACCTTCAGGCAAAGAAGCCACTAACAAACTTATAGGGTCGTGGTTCTGGTTGAAATTAGTCTGAAATTATGACTTATGCTATACTGAAACATGTGCTTGGAATTTAAAAAAACATTAATTTCATAAATTACTGTATGTTTTCATGGATATTTACACGTGGCACAAGCATTTACTACTGGACCTCCTCCCTTGATCACAATTATTGCGAATCTCACCCTCAAGTTAGGTGATTTTGGGGTCTGAGAAAGCATATTTTAACAAATTCCAGTGGGATAAACGAATATAATGAGTGACACAATATTGAAAATGTTTGATATAATGAGTAATGTGCTTAGTTTTGGTATTTTGAAAAAAAAATCATGAATATGGTCTTGAAGATGTTTATCATTAAGTTTTTAAAAATTAAGTTTTTACTAAATTATCATTAAGTTTTTAAAAATTTTACTAAATTATCATTATGTTTTTAAAAATTACTAAATTATCATTAATTTTTTAAAAATTAAGTCTTGATAATTTTTTTACTAAATTATCATTAAGTTTTTAAAAATTTTAACTAATATGGTCTTGAAGATGTTTAATATTCTTATTTGTATTCTTAACATATTCCAAAAATATAAAACTATGTCATTCTTAAAAATCATATAAAGTATGACACTAACAATTTATCTTGCCATCTTATTTAATTATAATTACTGCTTTGTGCTCCATAGTTTTGTGTACATTCATGAAATTTATTTTCCTCTCTAAAATGCAGATGAATTTTTCAGAGGACATGGAGAGTGATAGTGTTGATTCTTATGCCATGGATAGTGATAGTGTTGATTCTTATGACATGGATAGTTTGGACAAGAGAGATAAGAATATGGAAGAAGATGCGACACCAATAGTTATTGCAAATGAAAAGGTACTGAATGATGTAGAAGCTAAAAGTTCTGATCAGTACAAAGTGATATTGGACTTGACCAAAGAAGAGCGATTTATGGTAATTTTACGCTTGAATGTTTTGATAAGTATTGGGTTAATATGGTTTCCAAACATCAACTTGAAGAAACTAGTTGGGTGTTACAAGTGTATAAGAAGAGAGGTATTTGGGCTATTACTTTTTCTGAGATCATTTCATTGCAGGGCTACAAACCACTTCAATTTTGAGAATGCTTTAAGAGGTTATAGATCTAATGAGTGGAATTCTGATTTCACCTCGCTTTACACATAATTCGTTCTTACTACCTCTCTTCCGAAGATTGAGCAACATGCCTCACAGATATTTACGAGGAATGTTTTTAAGCGGGTTAGAGCACAGATTTTCACGGCTGGTGGATTGAATGTGATTAAGCGAGATGAAGATATTTCTAAGGTAACTTATTTAGTTGAAAAATCAAATGAGCGACTTAGTGAGCATGATGTTTTTCTACACAAAGATCAATGTAAGTATGCATGTACTTAAAAGCAATATGAGTATAGTGGCATTCCATGTTTCCACATAATATGTGCCATGTGTCTTGACCATGTTCATGAATTCCCCACGAGTCTGATTTGCAAACGTTGGTGCAAGGATGCAAAGAGTGCATTTATGTCATCGTATCAGCCACATGAAATGAATGATAACATGTTGTTCACGGCACGATTCGGAGTGCTTTCTGGTCATTGTAATAGGCTATGTCACAATGCTGCAAAGAAGCATGAGACTTTTAATTTGTTCAGGAATGAAATTTTGAAGTTGACCACAAAGCTGGAACAACAAGGTGTAGTTAGTGGCATCTGCAAATTAAATGATGTTTGTGATCCAATTCTCGTAAAGACTAGTTGCTCTTAAAAAAGGAAAATATCCAAGAAAAAAGATGTGCATTGTTCTGCATGTAAGAATAAAGGTCACAGTATTACCACATGTCCTCTTTTGTTATCTATGGATGATGATGACAATATCTCTTTTTTCATGACTCAAAAGATAATGTGATTTCCCTCTCTTCGTTGAGCCTTTTAATTTTTTCATGTTT